GTCAAAATTTGGAACTTCGTCTTCAAAATACATTTTTGGGGGCGTTTTTTTCCTTGAAAAAAACTGTAAACTTTTGAACTTGTACCGGGAAAACACGAAATGTATGACGTCACAACTGTGTTTACATACTCTCATGCAAATACGGCTATCAACCAATCACAGCGTACGTACTATTTGATTTATTTTATAAATGCGATATAGAACATAGCTAAGCCGGGTCGTAACCAGGGGTCTTGCAATTGAGTTGCAGGTGTGTGTAAAGAGAATTGAAATGGAAATTGAACTATCTACACTAGCAGTCATTTTGAAAAGTGGTATAAAATCCCGAGGTTTTGCACAACCAAAACAAAAGAAAGAAAGAAAAAAGAAAAGATTTGTCGATGCAATAACAAGCCTCGAATTTGTAGAAGGAAAAATAAATAAATAAAAAATGTGAATGAGTCAGCGAATTGTCAGCTCTAGTGGCCGATGGGGTGTACGTGTCTAATGCATCTCCCCCTTGGTTATACACGCTCGTGTAGCTTTGCATGTGGTACTGAAAGAACCTCTTGGCTAATCTATATGTCAGGGAACGGATAGATTCGTAGATCCACTCGCAGATCGACTTCTTGGTACCACACTAAAAGCACACTGTTTCCCCAGTCAATAAATGCTTAATGAAATTCAGCTATTTTAATTTCGATCCAGGACAAAATGAACAGCTATATTGCAAGCAACGCCTGCCCTTTTGTGTTTTTGGCGCTATTTATTATAATCATCAAGTCATTTGTTCAACGTGTTGTTGTAGAACGTTGGTATTCCATTRATTTTCCACCAAAGATCAGGCTGTTTTCTGGTCAACTGGTACGTTAGGTAATTCAGTATTGATGTGTTGTGGTGTAATGGCTGATGTAAACAGAGTTTAGAGGTTCGTTAATGTCTCGTTGCAAAACGATACTTTAAGCTATAGACCGTTTTCTCAAAGTTACGTTCGCATCCAACTTCAAGGGCCTTAACATTGAAAAAGCAAATTCAGTTAAACTGACAAGCCAGTTTTATATTTAAAGAGGAGAATAAACAATTTTACGAATTCTGAACGAAAAAATCATAGAAATGTATGAYAATWCTCATTATAAGCTCCTGTTCTGGTATCATGGGCCGTCAAGTCCCTTAAATTTGGATGCGCACGCAACCTTGAGGGAACGACTTTGCATTGAAATAGTAAAAACATCTACTGATTAAGGATTCATTCTACAAACTACACCTCACCTTTTGTGCAATCACTTCTTGTACTCATATGAAGCGTGCAAAACTTGGCGCATATTTGGTCATTTAGTAGAAGCTTGAACATCTAATTTCGCTGTTCGTAGATCAGTCAASCATGGCAGAGGWAGAAGCAGTAGAYCCAGATTGGTGTGGWTATGAATGYAAGTCAGGACADATTCTRTTCTACTWTAACAAGAGAACAGGAGAACACAGATGGGAAGGTGGTGATTATGTAAGTAAAATATTAAACAATACTGGTTGCAAGGCGATGGGAGGAGAGGGGTTGGTAGGGACCAAAGTCAGTTAAACAATATATGATATATATATATATATATATATATATATACAGTACCAAACTCTCTTGTAAGCGACCACTCTCGTAAGCGACCACGACAACCTTTGGGGTTAAAATTTTGAATATTTTCATGGTTTTTCGTCTCCCTTAAATGACCCAGTAATGATGACAGTTCCTTTAACAATAACCACGTGTTTAATTTATATGCTGTATAAAGATTGCATGAATTAAAATGTGATACATTTCCGGTTACTTGAGATTAAGTTATAGCTTAACTAATTAAGCAAACACAATGTGCTATACTTGTATAACTGTAAGTAATATATACAGTATGAGTGGCCGTGTTGTATCCGATATACAAACTTGAGGCGTAGCCAAGAGTTTGTATATCGGATACAACACAGACACGAATACTGTAGATTGCTAATCAAACGTCTAGGTTAGTTCCTTTGTGTTTCACTAAAAATTTCAAAATTAAAGTGAATCTGCCCAAGAAAATCCAAGTTAAAGTTTATGCAATTTAACACAATTCTGTATCTGATTTACAGAACTCTTCACAGTCGTGATTTCTATTGTGTTTTCCTCATGAATTATTAATGAGTTTTATAACTGTACTTTATAAAAATTTTCCTACTGAATATCCATCAATTCTGAGAGGTCATAATTAAGTTTTTGTAAATGTTTGTGAAGTCAAGGCATCGATGTGCATGTGTGTTAAAAGATTTCTATTGTAATTGTTGTTAGAGATCACTAGAATACAGTAGTTTATCTAATATCAAAGATTACAGTACTGTAAACATATAGCACATTCAAAGCTCTGATTAAAACAGTTAAATCCTTAATACAGTAGTTTCGACTTCTGAGTTACAAATTATAATTGGTTTAGGCTTCCTGTGTTGGGATTCCCATTGCTTGAGCTTCCTGTCTTAACACTCTCGTAAGCAACCATCTTGCATAAGCGACCACTTTCTCCTGGCCCGGAGGGTGGTCGCTTACTCAATACCTTATAAAACCTTGTAATCACTACTTAACCAGTGATTATTGTCTCAGAATCACTAGCCACTTGACCAATCACAGAGTGCAAAACTCTATTTGTGTAAAGATATACTAATTTGTAAAATATGCCCTTCTAATAAGCTCCCTATTCTGGGTTTTAAAAATAAATAAGCCCCCTGCCTTGCTCTCATAAGCCCCCACTGCTAATGGAGGTAAATTGGTCCTTTTCCCTTAGCAGACCTCTGAAAGTAATTTCATCTGTTGAGATTATGACTAAAAGTAATTATGAATTTGCAAAGATCAGGAAAAAATCCCCAGCCTTTAATAATCAATCAATCAATCAATTTTAATTATTAGTACCCTAATTACAATTGCAATTTAAAAATATAAGAATAAACAGATCTAAGGGTACAAGCTGTCTATAATAACAGTACTGTAGTAGCTAACCAAGATAGACAGCTGCTATTTGTATTAAGAATAGTATATATGGGTCTTATTAGGATAATAATAAATAGAATAAATAAAAATATATAGATAAAAACATATCAAATAACATAAGAAGAACAAAATAAAACAAAAATAAATTTAATATATGATTTAATATGACTTAAGCAAATTAGAGAAGAAAAAAATCGGGAGGTATGTGAGCTAAGCAAAACACACTCAGCTTCTCAATAAGCACCCCCACTCCCCTCCCCATTCCTTCTGTCAAGATTATGATTAATGTATATACCTTTTTACTGACATGGTGGCTATCTTGGATTCTATTGTTTTCAGTAAGAGATTATGAAATATTAGGGGAGAATATATTCGAAACTGACAGAGAAATTTGATTTTACTTTTTAATCCAATTTTTTTTTTCAACAGATTTTCATGTCAGAGAGAGACAAAATAGATCCAGATTGGTGTGGTTATGAATGTAAGTCAGGAGAGATTCTGTTCTACTATAACAAGACAACAGGAGAACACAGATGGGCAGGTGGTGAGCATGTAAGTCTAGACATTATCACAAAGCTTTTTAAACCTACCCTCCAAAACTCATTTATTTAATAATAATCATTACAACAAAACATGCCTTTTACATGCCTTGATACCCTGATAGCTTCATGATGCCCTCCAGCATTCCATAGATGGACCAAAGGGCTCTGAAAATCTTGAAAATCAATTATTTGAAATTAACCTCCAAATCAAGCTGCTGTAGTTTTACTGGAATATCATGCCATTGGTGAACTTTGTACCTTGTTTGCATAAAACGCTGACAATATGTCAATCAAAACTCCAAATATGGTTTTCATAGAGCTTGGAGAATAATTAGTTCCAGCAGTCAAAGGGTTAATCCATATTTTTTTGTGTTGAAGAACTATACATTCATAACATGATGCATCTAGATACATAACTAAAGTTGTACCCCCCACCCTACCACTCCTGTTTGGCCTGACATAACATGATGCATGTAGATACATAACTACAGGTGTACCCTACCCTATCCCTCCTGTTTGACCTGACATAACATGATGCATCTAGATACATAACTACAGCTGTACCCCACCCTACCCCTCGTGTTGGGCCTGATATTACTTTGTATCATTTTCTAGGAATCAAAGAATGATTGTAATCCATTAGTATCACAGGAGATCCAGTGTGCAAAGACTGATAACTGTGGCTGTACTAATGGACAGCAGACTACACAAAGCACAGGGAAACGTGTTAGACAAGGTACATCAATAGTACTCGCCATTTGTAAAAGTTTTGTGTGTGACATTAATTTTGGTCATTTATTTTGCCTTTTTTTAGCGTTAGTCAAAATCAGTTACTAGTTATTCTTTCCACCATCCACCAATATCATATATCCATCTAAGGTTTCCCAGGGGTCAGGGAAAAGTAAGGGAATTTTTTATTAATTTGGTTAGGGAAATTGCGAATTTAACCTAAAGTCAGGGAATTTTGTTTGAAGTTAACCATGAGTACTCGTGTGAAACTCCTACTGTTTGCAATTTTCGAATAGACTTATAAATCTTTTCAAATAATGAAAAAAATATTGAAGTATTTAGTATCATTTATGCTGGACAGTTTAATTACGTTGGGTATCCTGTGTAATATGATGTGACGACTGAGTCTGCGGCTCAATGCGTCAGTGGCTCGTCCTCTCCACGCATGTGCCTTGCTCGGGGAGCGTTTGCTGCCAGCTAGTTTGTACGCCATCTTTGCAGCGAATTGTTAAGTTGCCCCTCCCTTCCTCCACTGGTAAATTAAGGTAAATATGGYTCTTATAGATAAGTATTACTTCCACTGTTTCACAGTGTGACAGGTACCAGCGTTGGGCTGTGGCCCGGTTGCCATGGTTACCTCCTTGCTGGGGGTTTTCTCACGAAACCGGATCCCGCATTGGTACCTAGCCCAAACTTATCAGTCGATGAGTTTTAATGAGGAGGTAGAATTGTTAACTGGTCAAAAATTTGACCAGTAAATACCGTTAACACCGAACCGTCTCTTTAATTGTATAATAAATATGTTCTGTTTACACGGAATCGGTTCCAAATTTCCTGGGCTAGACATGAATGTTTGTTTGGATAGCTCAGAACTCCTAAACAAACAATTTTTTTGACCATTTAAAAAACTTGTACGGTACCTTGTCGACGCATCCTTACTCAACTCGCAGTAAACTGGCGTGGTGATATCGCTGTCTGTTAGCCACTCTCTGAACCCCACAGCTGTTGATTTCGTTGTTATTTTCACACCTCTAATCAGTTCTTGTTTTGAATGCGATTTTTAGAAAACAGAAATTCATCGAAGGAAAGTGGTTACTTGGATGAGGCAGACGAGGAGTCGCAACCCAGTAAACAACGGTCGTTAGGAGAGCATGTCACTGAAACAACAGGAGGAGAAGGTGATAAAATAAGAAGAAAAAGAAAAAATCCAAATGCGAAAACAAACAAATGCACGTATTGCAACAAGGGATTCAAAAGAAAACGTGATCTTCAAAAGCATGAGAGTATCCATACAGGTGTGAAACCATACAAGTGTACACACTGTGACAAGGCATTTACACATCAAAGTAGTCTAGAGAGACATGAGCTTATCCATACAGGTGTCAAAGCATACAAGTGTACATATTGTGATAAGGCATTTACTACCCAAGACCAACTAAAGAGTCATGAACGTTGCCATACACTTGTCAAACAAAACAAATGTACCTACTGTAGCAAGGAATTTTTATATCAGTACGATCTAAAGAGGCACGAACGTATCCATACAGGTGTCAAACCATACAACTGTTCATACTGTAGCAAGGCATTTACACTCAAAAGTCATCTAAACGATCATGAACGAATCCATACAGGCGTCAAACCGCACAAGTGTACATACTGTAGCAAGGCATTTACACTCAAAGGTAATCTAAAGGATCATGAACGAATCCATACAGGTGTCAAACCATACAARTGTACATACTGTGACAAGGCATTTACACAACATGGAGGTCTAAAGAGACATGAAAGTGTCCATACAGGTGTCAAACTATACAAGTGCACATACTGTGACAAGAAATTCAGAGAATCTGGTCATTTAAAGAGTCACGAACGAATCCATACAGGTGTCAAGCCATACAAATGTACATACTGTAACAAGGCATTTTCAGATCCCAGTTCTCGAAAGAGACATAAACGAATCCATACAGGTGTCAAACCATACGAGTGTACATACTGTAASAAGGCATTTTTAGAACGAAGTAATCTAAATAGACATGAAAGAATCTATACAGGTGTCAAATCATACGAGTGTTCATACTGCAAAAAGTCATTCAAACAACAATGTATTCTAAAGGTACATGAAAATACCCATAAAGATGTCAAACCATACAAGTGTACACACTGTAAC